CACAGCCAACCCTACCGACATCCTCGTTCGCAAGTCTTACGCGAAGATCTATCGTCAGCTGAGACACGCCCGCAGCATCTTCGCGCACATCTCCGGTAATCCGGGGATAGGAAAGTCGTGCTGCATCTGGTACTTCGTTCGCGAGCTCCTCAGCGACGCGAAACTAGCTGGAGCATACGTTTTAGTGCAACTGTTTGCGGACGCCAGGGTCTTCATCATCATCTCGCCGGGCGGAGAGGTCCGGTTCTCGTATAAAGTTCCGACAGACCTGTTGAGCTTAGCAGGGACGTGGCTCCTTGTGGACGATAGCTTTCAAGGATATAGAGCCACGCGAGGAAGGACGGTCCTCTTTACAAGTCCATCCCGGATGAATGGTGCTGATGCCGCTGAGGCGACAATGGACGAGGCCGGTTTGTGACTTTCCATATGGATGCCTGGAAGCCTTCGGAGCTGTTGAAAGCGTTCAAGAGGAAGCACCAGGCGGGGAGTTTCAGGAGCACTTACGGCCGGAGATTTCTCAGCGGCAGCACATTTCCTGGCACGGCTTTACGTCTGTGGTGGCATAGCTCCGCATTTTTTCCAGGATTTGGGCACTGTGACGGATAGACAGCAAAGAGCAGTGTCGAGCTTCCTGGTGACGGGGCGTGAGGAGCTGGCGGACAAAGTTTTCTACAGCCGTCCAAAATGCTCGCTCCGACAGATTGAGACGATAGCTTTTGCTTCCAGGTACATCCGCACTATGTTTACAAGCAAGGTCTTCCCATCCGGGAAGATGGATGCTTCCCTGGCCAATCTCGCCCAGATTGACTTTTCTTCTGTGCGTAGGGAGATCTTTGAGGACTACGCCTCCTCTCAACAAGTGATCGGACATTCACTGGTGTGAACAACCATATGTCCTTCGTCACCTTCAGGCCCAACTTGAGGCTCGTGAGGCGGAGGCTTGACATTGTGGACTCCTACATTCCAGAGCTGGGCCTTCTGCTGCAAATGCCCGTGGCTGCTGTGTTGGAGCAATTTTTCTCTTGCTTAGGACTTGTCTTTTCTTTTCCTTCTCACTATTGAATTACACATCTTTCCTTGAAATGCTTCATATGGGCACAAAGATTTTGTTGTACGCCAGGAGGCCATGCCCGAAAGCCCCAACTCCGTGGTTATAGATGGCGCACCCTGTACCACACCAGTCTTCGTTCATGTCTGCCCGCACAACGCTGTCGCAACTACAGCTGCTGAGGGACTACGTGATTGAAGACGGTCAGCCAAAGGTTACGAAGACTGGCAGGCATTCGTGGAAAAGGCTTGATCTGATGCCCATTGTCCTGCCTCCCATGCGGATGAAGCGCCCTGCACGAGATCGAGGGTGCCATGTACAATTACATATCTAGAGGACATCATTGCAGGTGTGGCTGCCACCTTTTTTTTTTCCCCTGGTGTTTCTTGTTTCGGTGTGTGTGTCCTGTTCTTGTTTTTCTCCCCTACTCTCCTTGCATGATTCTGTAATTGACAAGTGTGTGCATGTTTATGCAGTCTCCTTTTAACCCCGCAGCAGCATCTTCGCGCACATGCAAGGCGAATTTTCGTGGGAGCTTTCTCCAGCGGATTAATTACCAGGGGCTATACATGCAAAGCGTCCCAGCTGGTGGAAGAAACTCTTGCTGGACTGAGAGGACGGGATTGGACGCGTGATGATGGCGAGGAGATTAAATCCTGGAAGCAGACAGTTGATGCTCAGTGAAAGATGGGAAAAAATTCAGGGGCCAAACAAGTCTTCGAAACTCTGGTTGAATCCACGAATTTCTGGCTCCTCGCTCCTAGCTCTTCAAATCGGCGGAGATCGCTGCTCCATAAAACAAATTTAAAATATTTCAGTAAGCCTGTTAAAACCTTTTTTTTATCTTAAAGATGATGAAAGAATAATTTGGCGAAAAACATAGGGTTAGTGATTGTAAAAAGGAGTCCAGAAGAACTTCTCACGAGCGGAGCAGATCGAAGATGGTGGCGGTGGACGTTGAGCGGTATGTTGAGCTCAAGCGCATGATTGACGACTTGGCGATCGAGGCTGGTAACAATAGGAGCATCCGGGTGAAACAATACGATAGCTTCGACTTCGCGGACTATGATCACTGGGCCGAGACCAACAACAAGAGGGCGCTCAGTCCGGACTGCCATTACATGGAGGACGAGGTGGCGTTGGATCCTCCCCGTGCCGACCGGATCACGCGGATGGTGGCCGTGGCGCTCCAGCAAGAGGAGGAAGCGAACAGGAAGCGACTGGCTAAGGAGGTGAACTACTTCACAAGGCAACTGGCGCTTCAGCAACAACAAGCCGGGCCGCCGAGCAAGAGAGCTCGCCACTGATCGTCGAATCATCCCCTTGGGGGATGATCGAAAACAATCTTGTATCACAAGCATTACTGAAACTAGGAGCAAAAAACCTTTGTTGTTTGTACTTCATATACCTGGCAATGAAGAGATCTTTCCAGTGCTAGTGTTTGAGCTTTAGTGGCGTTCCATCTCAGTATGGCCGTGAGTCTTCCTTTAGCTAATAAGCCCTAGCTAGAGCTATGTTACGAGCGAAGGAAATGATGCTGCGTTGTTAGTTGCCAAGATATGCCGTATTATTGGTGCAAAGAAAATGTGTAGAAGTGCTCCAGTGACCTTGGGGGGCTTGATCAAGAACATCAATACTCAATTGCTAAGATATGGGACAGAGATTATGAAATGTAGAATTTCTACGTCCTCTTCTCAACTTTGTGATTGAGGAGAATGGCTTTTCAATGTTCTTCTTTTCTTTGTTTCTCATCGAATGCCCTTGCAAGTGAAAAACAACCAAACTATTGAAGTAACTGTTGTGTGCCAATTACTATTCTTCTCGCTTATATAATAAACTTTTAACAATTGAGACTTTGGAGTAACAGGATTTTACCACGCGATTCAGCTGCAGGGGCGATACAATTGCATTTCAGGTGATGGCAAACTCCAGTGCTGCAAATCTCACAGTTGCCTTTGATGTAGTGGCACTTATAACAGTAGTCCCATCACGCCTAGTCGTGCACAGGAATTGCCCCTCCACGCATATCCCCGCCATAGCCAGGCTCTCCTTGTTGCTGCTCAAAAAGGAGCACAGGAAGAAGAGGATCACACAGAGCAGGCGAGCTAACGGCCCAGTCAATGCCCAGTCAATAAAAGATTTCCCTGCTAGAGCGGCTTGTGACGGGGATGACGGGGAAGATTCGTTCTCCTCTATCGGCGACCGAATTCCTCCACATTGGCATCGCCAACGCTACCGTGAGTGAGGCGCCGGAGCTCTTGGCATATTGCCGGTTGTGAAGTGGCTGCCTTGAATTGCCCAGCGAGCTAGGGGAATACTACCGAAGCGGTGGAGCAGGCAATCTGGACCTCCTGGAGCGATGTGATCTCTTCTCCCCGGATCAGAAGCCCGGAAATCACAGCACCTGGCACGTTTTAGTTGCAATGAACACCAGCCCAATCGCATGCTTCAAGAACTAAGTCAAGCTCATTTTGACTTTGATCTGTATTGACAACTGGATTGTCATGAGAGTGTCATGTACGGGGAAGAGAGGGAGGACGTTGAGTTTGAGGTAGTGAAATCCTTGTTGACGGACAAAGTCTCAACTCTACCAGTGGCAGTTTCTAGTATGCTATGCCGTGCTGGGACCTCATCTCCAGTTTTTCACTGTACAAATCAATCCTCAGGTAGCTCATAAGATCGGTTTCGTTTTGTCGACCATCAATTTGCTCTCTTTTTTAAAGCAGGAGCAGCCGTTTCTGACTCCGCTGACTCTAGTCCTCAACTTGTATCAAGCTCCATGGAATGTTTGCTGCCATCGAAGCCGGACCGATGTGAGTGTAATGAGAAAATGTGAAGTTTGGCTGATAGTTGTATTGCTATCAGGTGCGAGCTGAATCCACAGATTGAACGAGATATGAGCTCTCTGATGCTGACCCATGACGGTGTGCTCAAGGTGATATGGAACTGGAACGATTCCTGCAACGAGTGGGGCGTCAACTGCGAAGATGTCTTCCAGGCCTACACGCTGGCTCCCAAATGTGGGAAACACCTCGTTGGCAGTGTTGAAGGGCCCAAATTCAGGACCAGGAGTGAATGTGAGCAACTGTTGAATCCGGTGTCATGGACTGCTGACCGTGATTCCTCCGCCAAGAAACGAAGAACGATCAGGAGCGACGCTCCTGGAGCATACATGGTTATGACTGTTCCTCTTCTTGCCGTGCGAGAGCCTGTTTCGGAAGACGAGCTGCGACAGATGGTGCTTGGCATTCGCAAGGCTTTAAAGGCCTTACATGGTGCTGGTGAGGCTCGTCTATCTTTGGGAGCTTATAGTTTCATGTGGCTGTGCAGGCTTGGTGCATCGCGACATTCGACCAGCTAATGTCTTGTATGACTACGAGCGAAGAAAGTTGATCTGGAAGGCGTGTGCACAGCAGGGATGGAAAATGCTGGGACGAGCAATGGGGGAATTCCCACACGACGAGGTCGGACCTCTACCCGGTGGGACTCTTGATGCATAAGCATTATCCTCGTCTTCTAACCATTCAGGCCTTTCAAGCTCTCGTAGGCAAATCGTATAACACTGCGGAAGGTGTTTTGAATGACGAATGGCTCCGAGTTATTGGATCCGCGTAATATCATCTATAGAAACGAAGAACACACTCGATACCTGGAAGGTGATAATCTCGCCTCTTTAGAGCTGAAGTTTTGATTGATACTATGGATTTTTTTAATTTTTTTTTGGTATATTTCCATGTGCAAAGCCATCCAAGCAAGTCTCCAAGGTTGCCTCTAAAATGGAGCAAAGATCACGAAACGGAAAGCGACGGCTACTGGAAAGATACGAGCATTTTCGTACGTGAATGCTGGCCGTCGGATGGAGCAAATCCGACGGCGCAGGATCATTCATCATTAGGACGTACTAGTAGACCGGACGCTCTCTCAGCGAGGTTTTTCCTTCAGCAAGCAAGAAGAAGAGCGAGAGCGCAGCTATGGAGTCGAGCGGCGGCGAAGCTTATCCATCTGGTCAGAGCTTTCCTTCTCGCTCTTTTTCTCTCATCACTTCGTTTCTTATATTTGTTCGAGCGTATCTTCGCAGGTTCTTACGAGGAAGACAGTCCTCTGTCGAGTTACATCCCCTCCAATCAGCAGCGGCAGCGGCGGAATCGCGAGGAGCTGCCAGGTTCGCACGAAGCGCTCCAAGCCGCGCAGGAGTACCAGCAACATCTTGCAAAGAAGAGTCGCAGCACCATTAAAGTCTTGAACCAGTGCTGTGTGAGCGGCACATACGTTATGGTAAGCGAAGAACAAGCTCGAGGTTTATGTTTCGCTATCCTTGTCTTTTTTCCCTTCGATATCTTCACAAAGAACTTGCTAATCGTTTTTCTTTTCTTCTTTATTTTTTTTCTGCAGACTCTTCCTTCGAACTACTGCAAGAAGATGATGCCGCACGGGAGAGCCGAGGTGATCGTCCGCGACCGGAGTGGTCACCAATGGAGGATGAGATGGAACTGGACGGTGCAGCCAGTGATTGGTGCCGGGTGGAAAGCCTTCTGCGTCCATCACGAACTCGTCAAGGGAGACGTCCTCGTCTTCCAAAAGGAGAACTCCTCCGAGATGATCACGTTCCGCGTCGAGATATTCAAGCGCCGCAAGCTGGTCAAATCCAGTGATCGCGCCAACGCCGCCAACATAGTGTTGCTCCCGCCAAAGAAAGAACCAGACGCGCTGGAGATCGAGATCGAAGAACTCGGCGGAGTAGCTAACGGAGGAGACGTCCACGACTACGACGTCCTCGAGCGCAATCCCAAGAGGACGAGGGGGCTCCTGAGGGGAGAATGGGTGGAGAACTCACACTCGTGCAACCAGGAGGTGGCGGGCGAGGAGGAGGAGGGAGTGGCAGAAGGGATGGGAGGCGGAGAAGAGGCGGCGGAGGAGCGGCAGCAGCAGCGCCACGAGCCAGTGGTGGCGCTGGTGCTCAAAAAGACGAGGTCGGCAGCCGAGTCCGAGGAGCTTGGGATGAGCTTCAAGATGCAGGGGAGCAAGCTCCAGCGCATGTGTAGGAGCGTGCTGGGCTCGCCCGGATCAATCGTGGAGGGGAGCTCCGCTGGATCGCTCAAGGCTAAAGTGTCCAAGGAGGAGCTGAGGAAGATCCTCAACCTGGCATTTCCTCTCTACGATGCCACTCCCTTCTAGAGTGGATGAAAATTTGATCAAAACTTTAAAATGATCTATTTGCCACCTGATTTAAAATTTAGAAATAATGTATAAATACTAATTATTATCTAAGCATTTATAAAAATTTAAAGCATACTTTTTATTAGAAGAGAAGATGAAATAAATGATTTAATAAAAATTTACTATATTATTTCTAAATTTTAGTTTAAAATATTTAAATTATCATGTTTAAGTTTTAATATATTTTTATTTATTGTATTTACACTATTAAATTCTGAAGTATTTTGGAGGGAGGTACACCTCCCAAGAGATATCTAGTGTAGACAACATGGTAAAAAATCTTGCATGTTTGCGAAATATATAAAAAATGCTTTATTTCGTTAAAGTGGAACTTATTCAGTAAAGTGGGACATTAATTAGCATGTGTCCACATGCCATTTCCTAGTACTTAATTAATATTTATTAATATTTCTATCAGTTTTTTAATTTATTTTTTATATTTCACAATATTATAACACAAAATCATATGAAAAGTTTTTAATTTATAAATTATAAAGCTAAAACTTAAATTTTTTATTGTTGTTATAAAAATGGCATGTGGCCACACACCATAAGTGGGATAATGAAAAGTTCCACTTTCACGAAATAAAGCATAAAATAAAACACATGTATGCTTAAATTGTTGTAACATGCATGTGTGACTCACAAAATAATATTTAAGCAAAACTTTTTCCTTACACATGGGTGGTTGCTGTATATGCATAACAAAATTCAAATTAACACCATATATACAATTTTTTGTCTTCATGTTAGATTTTGGTTTTATATGTTAATAGTTAAGGTTTTTGGGTGTGATGTTTTTTTAATGTGCAAACTAGATTTAAGATGTTATAGATTCTTTAGGCACTCTCTTTGATAAAAGTAATGAAAAATACTTTGTAATTTAATAGTTTTGCAACAAATGAAGAAATTTATACCTAAGTGAATGTTAGAAAAGGCTACTAGAGCTCTAACAACAAATGGCCTCTAAGGAAACTACTAGTGTTGAAACCTTAAACTTTCCTAAGTGTAGGTGTTATAGTGAGGGAAAAAAGGCTACAAACTTTAGAGAAGACTTAAAAATTGTTTTGTTTCTGTATTGCAATTGATCAAGCTTACCATTGTGCTTCAATTGATTACATTTGTTGCTGCACTTCAATTGATCAAGCTCACCACCACACTTTAATCGATTGCACTCACTACCATACTCCAATTAATTACACTTGCCACTACACTCCAATCGATCACACTTACTGTTGTACTAGGTTAAAACATCATGCTGCAAACAAGCTATAAAAAATAAAAGGCGTGATAAATAAATTGAAGCATAGTGTTTATATTAAGGTGTACAACAACTTTAACTTGTGAGAAATGAGCCACAATTGCAAAAAATAAGTTATAATTGTGAGAAATGAACCATAACCATGAAAAATGAGTTATAACTGTGAGAAATGAGAGGAGAGAAATTATCACAATTAGCTCATCTCAAATCTATACTCATAGAAATGAGAAAAAAATAAATTGTAGTAACATCATATTGTCTAAGATGATGTGGCATAATGCTTATATAGTAGTATGAGCTGTCATGCCCCATGCATATATAACATACCCTATGACAAAAATATTATATACACAATGGTATTTTAATTGCTTATATTGCAATTGAAAAGTGATTGTATGCATAATATTTTTGCATGCAACTCAAAATAAAAAAATAAATCCACACGTATATATCTCCCATGCAAAATCACATATTCGTTGCTATATTTTTATAAGCATTGTAAGTAATATTTCTTTTATATATTTCTTGTTTGAAACTATATTTATTTTTGTTGTCAATTATTAAAATCCTAACTAATATTTTTAATATTAATAATCCTTGAAGTAAGTTTATATTAATACCTATAATGTTAAAAGGGAAGTTTAGGATTTTATACCTCATGGCCCAAACAATTCGTTTACTTTTGTACCTAGTGCTTAATATTTTTAATCATTAATCAAAAGATTTATCTTTACTTTAGCATTGATTTTTTTTTTATCATTTTATAATGCCTAGAACCTTTGGAGTGATATAGCAAGCTAGGGAACCATGCAAATGCATGTGGCACTTCAATGAGGATAAAAGCTCAAATATTAAATCATAATATATTTTTATTTCTCTTTTGTGTTATTACTATTATAATTTTTCTTATAAATGAAAGACATACAAGGATAAGTAACCCAAAACAGCTTAAACCAGAATAAAATAAAGAATATTCGTACCGACAAGTTGTCAAAGCTATATATGCCTCCCTTTTGTCTCAACCCTTTTCAGTTTGTATATAACCTAGGATCCATCGGCAAGTAGTGCAATGGGGAGCTTGTTTGTGATCAATGCAGTGGAGGCTAGCACGTCCAAAAGTTGTCCCAAAGAGTCAAAAATCAAATCTAGCAAGGACAAGGACCCGCCATCACAGTTGCCACCACCAAAACCAAGATTTCTTCGTTCAGTGAAATCGATTGCTCCAATAGTTGTTGTGTAAAAGGAAAATACATTTCTAAGTTAAAATACATCTCAAGACATCAGTTCTTATCAGTTTTCCACTAGAAGGCATCATAGTGAGGAAATGCCAGGCGGAGGATCTTCCTCAGCTCTTCTTCGGATGCTTTAGCCTTGAGCGATCCATCGAAGCTGCCCTGCACGATCACTCCGGGCGAGCCTAGCAGGCTCTTAGTCATGCGCTCGAGCTTGCTCCCGTGCATCTTTACGGTCACCCCGAGCTCCTCGGACTCGGCTGCCGACCTCGTCTTCTTGAACACCAGCGCCACCACTGGCTCGCGCTGCTCCTCTGCGCCTCCCGTCCCTCTCTCCTCGTCGTCCTGGTCGCACGATGGTGAGTTCTCCATCCATTCTCTCCTCGGCGGCCTCCTCGTCCTCTTGGGGCGGCCGGGATTGCGCTTGAGGACGTCGTGGTCGTGGACGTCTTCTCCGGTGGCTCCTCCATCGAGTTCTTCGATCTCGATCTCCAGCTCTTCTTCTTTCTTTGGCAGGGGCAGCGCCATGTTGGTCCCGTTGTTCATGATCACTGTGCCATTGGCGAACTTGCGGCGCTTGAAGATCTCAACGTGGAAAGTTATCGTCTTGGAGGAGATGTTCTCCTTTTGGAAGACGAGCACGTCCCCCTTGACGAGTTCGTGATGGACGCAGAATGCTTTCCATCCGGCACCAATCACTGGCTGCATCGTCCAGTTCCATTTCATCACCCACTGGTGGCCACTCTTGTCGCGGACGAGGACCGGGGCTCTCCCCCGCGGCATCATCTTCTTGCAGTAGTTCGAAGGAAGAGTCTACGGAAAAAGAAAAACGAAGAAAGTGGTGAAGATATCGTAAGCGTGGAAAACATGCTTACCATAACGAATGTGCCACTCACACAGCACTGATTTAAGACTTTCACAGTGCTACGACTGTTCCTTGGGAGCTGTTGCTGGTACTCCTGCGCGGCTTGGAGTGCTTCCTGCGAACCGGGCAGCTGCTCGCGATTCCGACGCTGCCGCTGCCGATTGGAGGGGATGTAACTCGGCGGAGGACTGTCTCCCTCGTAAGAACCTGTGAAGATACACTCGAACAAAAATATAAACTTTAAGTAGAAACGAAGAAAGAAGAGAGGGAGAGAGATAGAGCGAGAAAAGCTCTGACCAGATGGATGAGCTTCGCCGCTGCCGCTCGACTCCATAGCTGCGCTCTCGCTCTTCTTGCTTGCCGTGGCTTGGAAGAAGGAAAAACCTCGTTGAGAGAGCGGGCGTCCGGTCTAGTAGTACGTCCAAATGCTGCATCCTACGCCGTCGGATGAAGCCCATCCGACGGTCGGCATGCAAATAACAGGAATCGTATCTTTCTAGTAGCTGTCCCTTTCTTTTTGGTCCATTCTAGAGGCAACCTTGGAGACTGGCGTGGACCTGGAAACATCCACAGATCAATCGCTTTCATTTTAAACTCCAGCACCTGCGCTAGAATCTCTTAAGAACGTAATCACTTACTCGATCACTTTGGTGTCTTCCTTGAGCTCTGGAGTCCTAAGTTGCTCCTCCCACATTCCCGAGCTCCCACGCAAGTTCTTTGATCCATTCTAAATGCAACCTTGGAGACTTGCTGGGATCGTTTTGGACCTGGAAACATAAGAAACAGTCACAAATCAATCAACCGGAAGTTTTCGCTTACTTGATCACTTTGGTGGCTTCCTTAAGCTCCAGCGTCCTGAGTTGCTCCTCCCACATTCCCAAGCTCCCATACAAGTTGGCCATCAAGACGTAGCTCGCTTCGTGCCTGGGATCCAAGTCCACAGCGCTCTGGAAAGCAGCGCGTCCAATCTCCAAGTTGTTCCACTTCTTACACCCGGCCAGCACTGTCTTCCAAGTCACGAGGTTGGCCTCCACCGGCATTCCCTTGACAAACTCCAGTGCCTCGTCCAGATGGTTTGCTCGCGCCAGCAAATCGACCACGCAGTGGTAGTGTTCCAAGTCCGGCTCGACACCATACTTTTGCTTCATGTCCTCAAAGTAGCGCTTCCCTGTGTCAACCAGGCCAGCATGGCTACACGACGTAAGAATCAAAACGAAAGTGATACGATCACCTCGCAAGCCTTCGTCGAGCATCCTCTCAAACAGCTCCAGCACTTTGTCCGTGTCTCCCTGCCGGCTGTAGCTCGCCATGAGCGAGCTCCAAGTCACCACGAGCATCCTCCTCGCCAGTGACTCAAAGACGCGCTCAGCATCGTCGAGGCGAGCGCACTTGCCGTAGAGATCCACGAGAGAGCTTGCTACGTACGTCCCGGCTTCCAGTCCCAGCCTGCAAATCCTTGCGTGGAGCTCTTTGCCAGCTTCTAGCGATGGCACGCTGCCGCAAGCGACCAGTGCAGCGATGAAAGTCCGAGAGTTTGGCTCGCAGCCCCGGGACTGGATTAGTTCGACGAGCTCTAGAGCGATCTCGACGTCACCGTTCTCCGCGTATCCCGAGACGAGTGCCGTCCAAAGTACCACGTCGTGATGCTTCATTCTATCGAAAACCAGCCGAGCGTCACCCAAACTTCCACACTTGGAGTACATCTCCACCAGGCTGCTTGCCACGAACATATCGGTATCACATCCTCTTTCTCGGGCCTGGGCGTGAATCGCCATGCCTTGCTCAAGCTGTCTCAGCTTCACAAACTCTTCTCTCACCTCCTGGCCTTCTTCCTTCTCCGCCAAGCTCGCGCAGGCCATGAAAGCGGCGACGTAGCTTCTCGGGTCAGGTCCTTGCAAGCGAGAGAACAGGCGTAGAGCCTCCTCGCTCGCTCCGTTTTGCACATAGCCCAGCATCAACGCGTTCCACAGCACCACGTCCGGATGTAAGATCTTGTCAAAGACTGCTCGAGCGTCAGCCAGGCTCCCACAAGTCGTGTACATGTCGACCAAGCTGCTCGCCACAAACTTGTCCGACTCAAACGCATACTTGCAAGCCTGACGGTGAAGAGCCACACCCCGGCTCAAGCTCCTGGACTTGACAAGCTTTCCATCCGCTTCCTCCTCGGCTCCCAAGCTCGAGCATGCCATCAAAACGGCAACGTAAGTTCGAGCGTCCGGCTTGCACCCTCCCGTGCTAGTGTCCATCCTGCTAAACAGCTCTAGAGCCGACTCATCGTCCCCAGCCTCCACATATCCCTGTATCATCGCGTTCCAGAGAATCACGTCTCGGTGCTGAGTGCTCTCGAAGACGTCGATGGCACTGGAGAGTCCCCCGCACTTGGAGTACATGTCCACCAGCGAGCTCGCCACGAACACGTCCGATCCAAACCCGTGCTTCACCGCCTGACTGTGAATCAAAGCTCCCTGGTTGAGCCACTCCAGCTTGAGCTCTCTTATGTCCGACTTTGCTCCAAGGCTGGCACAGGCCATGAGAGCCGCGACGAAAGTCCGAGAGTTTGGCGGACACCCGGAGCAGTGGTGCTGCATGCGTTGAAACAAATCCAGAGCCTGCTCGGGCTCGCCGTTGTCCACGTATCCCAGCATCAAAGACGTCCACGAGACAACGTTCCGGTCTTTCAGGCCATCGAAAACCAGCCGGGCCTCGGTGACGCTCCCACACTTCGCGTACATATCGACGAGAGCGCTGGCCACGAAAACGTTGGATGCCGAACCGGCCTTTCGAGCTCGAGCGTGGATCTCTCTTCCTTCTTGCAAGCACCGAAGCGTCTTCTCCGTGTTATCTCGCCTGCCACCATTCTCCTTGGCTGTCTGGCTCGAGCAGGCCATGAGCGCTGCCACAAAGCTGCGAGCGTCCGGTTCGCAAGTCATGCGTGAGAAAAGCTCGAGACCCAATCTTCCTTCCCCGTTGGTGGCATAGCCCCGGATCAGAGCGTTCCAAGACACCAAGTCCGGAGACTCCATGCTGTCGAAGATGTTGCGAGCATCTACCATGCTTCCGCACCTCGCGTACATGTCGATCAGAGTGTTGGAGACGTAAATGTCCGCGACTTGGCCAGAAAACCGGTGAACTCGCCTGCCAGTTTCGAGGTCCCTGGAAACGCTGCATGCTTTGAGGGCGGCGAGCAAAACTGGGACGCTGGTAAAGACCCGCGTTTCCGGAGCTACAGTGGTTCTCAGTGACGCACCGAGAGAAAGCTGCAAAACACGGCAAGAGTTTGCATCGGAACAGCTGCGGAAGGAGAGATACTTACGGTCTTGCGATGCTCGAGGTAAAAACGTGTTGGGCATTGGAATGCGATCCTGCTTGTCATGCTCAAGTTCCCATCGCTGGTATCTCATGTTCGTGTCATCTACCATGAACCCTAAGCTCACAAACAGTCTGGAACAGATGTAGCTCGCAATGATGAAGGCCTATCGGTGTGGCAGGATATGGAGGAGTGTAGAGATAATTTCTTCTGCCTGCTGCCTGCGCTTAAAGCATGCGCTCACAAACAATGTGTCTCAAAAAATGCTGCAAAGAAGGCAAGAGTTAGCATCATGACATAGCCGAATCAGAAAAACGTACACAGTCGCCTCTGGTTTCGTGGCAATGCTCACGACGCGTTAGCCATTTAACCCCTGCTTGTCATCCAACCATGCCATTTATCGCATTACAAAACAACTACACTTGCTTACCTTTGAGCTCGCAATGACGACGGCAAGCACTGTCCTAGAATACAAATGCTACGCGAGGAAAAGTGCACCAAAGTTGCAAAGTTGAAGTTAAAAAGAAACATTATTTCCTGGCACCTTGTCTACTACCTTCCTGAAGCATTTCCTGGTGAATCTTTGCGTTGATTTTCTGGGGATCAATCTTCACCTGATACAGGCAAAGGTCAGTTAAGACAATCGAGTTACTTGTAGCCGACCTGATCCTTGAAGTGCAAAAACTGCTCCTTGGTCTCAATAGCTTTGATCCGCATCAAGTAATGCTGCCTGTACCACATCACCGTGTCAATGTGGACCTTGTGCAAAACAGCCAGTTCTAGCGCTCTGTAAACGGCAGTCAGTTTGTGACCCTGAGATAAAAAAAAGAAAACAACCTGTCCCAGTTGAAGAGCTTCAAGTTCATGTGGATTGCCCGATAAGTGAGCCCAGCTTGCAGTAAAATCGACTCGGCTTTGTCCGGGTGCCTTTTAAATAATGCAAGTTCTGCCTGTCGTGCTTCTTCTACGGGAAGATCCTTCAGATAAAGCATAAACTGCACCTTATCCACCTGAATGTTTCCACTTAAGGTGGCCGTCAATACACGGAAATAAAAACTGCAAACCTCGTCCAGAGCTGCATAAGCCTCTTCCGCAATGTTCAGCTCCTGGGCATCGACTGCCATCGTTGCCAAGCAAGCCCAAAGTAAATCCTCCTGCAGCACACACAATCTTGCTATTAAGAAAATTTTCACGGGGATGACAAACCTTTACGAATCTACAGAGCTGGGCCGCATACTCCCACTGTCTGGAGTTCACATGCTGGAACAACACGAACGGATACGGGCATATGTACGAAGAAACTATGGCTCCATCTGTTCGTCGTAAGATGCAACTAGAAGTAACAAAGCTTCGAATTTTAGGATTCTTGCCGAGATCACTGCGTGTAGCATCAGATAAAACCATGGCAGAAAGCGAGAGAAAGTGAAGGAAAAACGCTTACCACTCTTTTATTACTTTTACTCGATGAAGAAGGTCTCGATCAACAAAAGCAGCCGATGGACAATACCATACAATCAGTTTCTGGTACGCGATAGCAGCGATTATGTCGGCCTCGTCATTCCATCTCACGTTGTCAACAATAGTCGCCAGTTTAAATACCTCGTGCTTGTGCTGGCAGAAGCATTAGAGATTATGAGAAAAACTAAAATCTTGCAAACTTACATATACGGGAGTTATAAAGAGGTCTTGGTTGCGGTCAATAAACGCAATTCTCCTGACAGTTCCCACTTGATTGAGGGCGATTTCTTTTATTTCAACAGTATGTCGAAATGGTTCACCAGCAAGCTTTCCCGTCGACGCATCCAAAAACCGAATTACTGCAGGTTTTCAAATCAGTTTTATGGACTGACAAAACACAAAACTGATCTACTGATTTTAATTTAGTTGTGAACCTGGTATGACAGAAGTCTCGTAGACAACCTACATTTATGGTCGGATGTATCTATAAACGCCACAGTGTCTGTTGAAATAGCAACATTGCGCTCGAGCAAAAACTCTGGTCGCAGTCCTGCAAGAAAAACATGTCTACGTCGATAGAAACTTCAGTGTTTATAGATACCTTGACATTTTGGGCTTGAAAGATGCCGACCATCATAGGTGAACAATTGCAAGCCCACAAAACTGTCGATGATCATGAAGTACCTTTGGCATAATCTTATAAGAATGATGGCATACTTGACATCAATTACGTGTGGAGCGTTTAAATTTGAAACCGAGTAGATGTAGCACTGCACGTCATGCCAGATTGTTAGCGTGGCCACAGTAGTCACGATTCAGTTACCTGGTTAGTAGTCGCAACGATCAAGTGGCGAAACTCCAGACGAAATTGAACAACCCGGTCACAGAACTCCAAGTCAGTCGTATTATTAGTCACCATGTCCTGTCTATATGAGCTTCACCTAAACATACTTGCCATAAAATTTGGAAAAACTTACATAGACTCTCAAATGTCCACAACCGCGTAGCGTCGCAGACAATTTTAGCCACTCTAGTTTTCTGCCAGTCTTTATCATCTCAAAAAACAGACATAAAAAGAAAGGAGAATACCTGTCCACGATCTGACCGAATACTACAAAGCCATTCGCACCGGCACCAGCCAGTTGCGCACCGTCGTTACTCCATGAAATTCTTAGAAAGGACCCAGCTGAAAGCTTTTCCTTCCAGAGAACCCACTGCAAAGCTGATATGTAGGCTCAAAGAAGAACTCCACTTGAACGTACCCCCGTCTTGTCGCAAAGCCACAACGTGTTGAATGAGCCGACGGCAAAGAACTCCCCAGATGGACACCAGGCAACCGAAGTTATGCTATCGTCAATTTTGCTACTCTGATAGATCATTCTCCCATGGTAGTCCCAAACCTACATAGCAAACATAAACGTGAGAACATTTGTAAAAGCTTGTAGATACCTTATAGACACCATCTTCTCCGCCAGATGTAAGAAGGTTCGAAGCATAATTCCAATCAACCGCTAGAATCAGTCCGTTATGACCATCCCAGTGCGACTCCTTGATTGAGGACTGCAATGGAAAACATTTTTTTATGCGCTTAGGAGCTGAGTAGTTTACCTGGAGGGATTTGATAATCAACCGTCCCTGGCAAGCAAACAACACCTGATCCGAGCTTGGACTCCATGCAAGGGCGTAGATTGGACAAGCTGAACCAGAAAATTAATAGAAACCATTGAAAGAAAATAAAACTTACGGCTTTGTGCCAAAGTAGATCGGAGCATTCCACTGCAAGACCATATTTTTACAATCCCGTCCTCCCCACCAGTTGCTAAGGCCGATCCTGCTGATCACGTTACAGAAAACCCATAATCATACGAGTCTGGTACTACCGTCAGTACTCCATCGAACACACAGAATGCTCCCTGCATGAGCTTGGACCCTTTTTTCTTCTTTCCCAGTCCTATTAGAAATATGAAGCGACCCTGGAAAATCTCATTGTTAAAGTTACATAATGAACAAACGCACCGTCAATGCAGGAAACAACAAAAATGTCGCTCCCTGATCCAGTCCGGTTCCAGTGCGAGGTCAAAGGGTAGCATTGCAAATCCGTGGATATGGAGTCTATGTTCTCAAGCTGTACGCAAGCCATTTATCAGTTGCTATTAGAAAAGAAAGATGAGCACACTACCTTAAGAATGGGCTTCCCATCCCTGTTCCAGCACCATATAGCGTAGTCATCACCGCAAGAGTAGAGGTCATTCGTCACATTCCACCCGACGGCAGCTACAAGGCCCTTATCTGAGACCACCAAAAACACGTTATAGAGGGAAAAAGAACGAAGAGAAACGTACGTGTCGTGTTCTCCGCCTTAAACACGGTGATCCGCATTCCTCAGTGATGAACACCGCGACCACAATAGCCCTAGCGCTTCAGCTGAAATAGGGCTAACGAAATAAGTTAACTAAAACTTTACCAAAAGAAACTTACCGGTTGCACTCGCAGCTCGAGCATCCTTGTTCTATTCCGTCTTGTTTGAAACTCCTTGTCAAGATCCCCAGCAACTTGGACTGTTGCTCTCTCATGCCGACAGAGCCATAGAGATCTGCCATCAACAAATAACCCGTCTCCTGTTTCTCGCCCATTTCGACCAGCTTCTCGAATGCCTGCTCCCCAAGTTCCACTTTCTTCCACTTCCGGCAAGCGGCCAGGATGATCGTCCAGGTGATTTCATTCGCTTCAAACGGCATTCTTTCCACCATCGCTACAGCTTCCTCGAAAAGGTTGGCACGTCCCAGGCTGTCCACCATGCAGTGGTAGTGCTCCAGGCCCGGCTCAATCCTGTGGCGAAGCCGCATTGCCTGGAAGAATTCCCTGCCCTGTTCCACAAGACCGGCGTGGCTACAGGCGGTGAGAAGCGATACGAATGTAACTCCATTCGGCTCCATACCTTCGTCTTTCATCTTCCAGAACGTCGCAAAGACGTGCCTTGCGTCCCCCTGGTGACTGTAACCTTCGATCATAGCACTCCACGTAAAAACCGTCTTGTTCTTCAAGGAGTCGAAGACCTGCTCGGCATCACCCATGCTGCCGCAAGTGCCATAGAAGTTGACGAGCGAATTCGCAACGTAGACTTCACTCTCGACTCCAGCCTTGCAAACCAGAGCGTGGACGAGCTGCTTCCCAGTTTGGAGCGCTGCCAGGCTGCCGCAAGCCACCAATGCCGCAACGTAAGTCCGAGGATTTGGATCGCAGCCTTCGAAGATCATGCGTGAGAAGAGCTCCAGAGCGATCTCTCCACTGCCATTCTCTGCGTATCCCATCACCAGAGCAGTCCAGGAGACCACCCCGTGCGATGGCATCTTGTCGAAAACGTTTCTAGCGTCGTCCAAGCTGCCGCAGTTCGTGTACATATCCACCAGAGTGCTGGCGACGAAAGGATCCGAGCCACAGTGACGCTCTTCCACCAGAGAATGGATTGCCACGCCTCTTTGGAGACACTTCTCCTTGATGTTCTTGCCACCATTTTGCTTGCCAGGAGCTCTTCCGTTCGTGGCTAAGATCGAGCAGGCCATCAGCACCGCGACGAAAGCTCGGCTATCAGCTTGACAGCCCGAGAGAAGCATCCGCCCAAAAGCTTCGAGAGCTAGCTCGCCATCGCCACTGTCAGCGTAACCATTGATGAGAGTGGTCCAGGAAACGACGTTGGGATGGGTGATCTTGTCAAACACTTGCCTTGCTTGCGCCATTCTTCCGCATTTCGCGTAGAAATCCACCAGGGCGCTCGCCACGAAGACGTCCTCGGAATCAAACCTGCGAGCTCGAGCTTGAGAATGCACAGCGCTGGCGAAATTCATAATCTCTGGGCAGACCTCCTTGCGGCCGGCATCTTCTTCCACCGCCGCTGCCAAGCTCGAGCACGCCTTGATCGCCGCGAGGAGCGACCGGCCGTCGGGCTCAAACCCTGACAATCGCATCCAGGAGAAGGATTCCAGCGCTAGATGCTCCATGCCGTTGTCGACATAGCCGGCGATGAGGGAGTTCCACGACACGGCATTTCGATTCGCCATGGCGTCAAACACCGATCGCGCGTCCGCCATGCTCTTGCATTTTGCGTACACGCTGACAAGCGTGTTGGAGGCGTGGAGATCGTCCATCAAGCGGTCGATCTGCTGCAAATGGATGTGCTTGGCGGCGTCGAGATCCCTGGAGCTAGCACAGGCGCGCAGCGCACCGATCGTAATGAATCTTTCCACCGATTCCTGGGCGTCATCACCAATGGGGAAGAGAATCTGGAAGATCTTGAGCCTGCGCAAGCGCATCGACTTGGCGCTCAAGCAAGAACCCTAAACCCTACAAGCGCAAGATGGAGTAGAAATTTCGATGCGGCGATGCCGCCGTCGCAAGGCGGCGCTACCGATCATCGGCCACAACAGAAATGTAAGCTCCCCTCTCGATTTCCTCGATCTCTCCCTCTCACTGCTGTTCTGGAACAAGCTAGGAGGAAGATTTCTCTTCTCTGGATTCGAAGAAGAAGAAGAAAGAATCGATCATCCTTCACTAGTGGCGGCACTGAAAGCTTGCAGCGCCACCAAGGACCTCGAATCCGGTAAGCGCATCCATTCCCCCATTCTTGGAAGCGATGGTAGCCATTCGCCCGTGACCCAGGTCTCCAACGCGCTGATAAGCATGTATGGGAAATGCAACAGCATGATCGACGCGCGATCCATCTTCGACTCCATGCCTCGTAAGGACCTGGTGTCGTGGAACTCTCTGGCTTTCGGCTACGCTGTGAATGGAGAGCCAGGCCGAGCTCTAGAGATCCTTGGAGCTATCCAAGCAAGCGGTACCCTCCAGCCCAATGCCCGGACGTTCCTTGCGGCGCTCTTGGCTTGCTCCAGTCTAGCCGACGAGGAGATCGCCAAGCTCGTCGATGGGAAGCTCTTCAAGTCTTCGTGCTTGGAAAGAACAGTGGCAATTCATCTCGACGCCGGGAAGCGTGGCTGCCTCGACGTTTACGTATCAACTTCGCTGGTCGATCTCTACGCGAAGTGTGGCAGCGTGGTGGAGGCTGCCCGGGTTTTCCACAGGATGCCGAGCCACAGCGTCGTCTCCTGGAGCACGCTCATACAGGGATACGTAGAGAACCACGAGAACGAGGTGGCGCTGGGTTACTACGAGCTTATGGGAGATTCGAGGATTCCACCCGACTGCCGGACTCACGTCGCTGCTCTGATGGCTTGCTCGAGCTTGGCTCTGCGAGAGGAAGGCCGGGAAGTCGATGGAAAGGTGGTGAAGACGCAGGCGCTGGAGAAGGGAATGGCTGTTCACTCTCGGATTGACAAGCTCGAGTGTGCATCGGACGTGATCCTGGCAAGCACGGTGGTCCATTTCTATGCAAAGTGTGGGAGGCTGGAGGACGCCGGCGCAGTGTTTGAGGCAATGCTGCGGCACGACGAGATCTCCTGGAACACTCTGATCATGGGATACGTGGAAAACGGGAAGTACGATCTAGCTTTGGAGCTTTTCTCGAGAATGAGGCTGGAGAAATGCTCGTCTAGTCGAGCGACTGTTGCTGTTCTCATGGCCTGTGCGAGTTTAGCAGCGAGAGAGCAAGGCAAAGAACTGGACGGGATGTTTGTGAAGGCGGAGTGTTTGCAGAAGGGGATGGAAATCCACAGGGAAGCTGTAGTCAGTGGCTGTGACTCGGACGGCTTCGTGGCAAGCTCGCTGGTGGATATGTATGCCAAGTGTGGAAGCATGAAGGATGCTCGAGCGGCTTTTGACAGGATGGCCTATCACGACGTCGTGTCGTGGACAACATTGATACTAGGATACGCAGAGAATGGTCTGGGGGAACTGGCTCTGGATCTCTTCTCACAGATGACTTCCGGGGCTCCAAACCATCTCACGTACGTTGCTGCGCTGGTGGCATGCGGGAACTCATCAGCTCTGGACAGTGGAAGGAAGATCCACAGCAGGATACTTCGTTCGGGGCTTGAGACCGAGGTGGTCGTGGAGAGCAGCCTAGTGGATTTCTACTGCAAGTGTGGCAGCATGGACACCGCCGAGAGTGTGTTCTTGTCAATGCAGACGAAGAGATTGGTTACTTGGAGCGCGTTGATAGCAGGATATAGCAGGCAAGGTGATACACTCCCCGTGTTTGATCACTTTCGGAAGCTCCGGGACGAAGGCTTACAACCAAATGGGATCACAGTTCTGTCCGTTCTCACCGCTTGCAGCCATGCCGGGCTAGTTGACAAGGGGAAGAAGATCTTCGACTCAATGCTCGCGGAGTTTGGCGTGAAGCCGGAGATCGACCACTATCACTGCATAATCGATCTTCTGAGCCGGGCCAACCGTCTCGAAGAGGCAGTCGAGCTTGTGCAAAGCTTGCGTTGCGAAGACAGCTATTTGGCATGGACAACCATCTTGAGTGGAGCTTGCAAGTGGAACAACTTACAGGTTGGGGAGAAGGCTTTTCAGTCTCTGATGAAGCTCGAGGATCGAGATGACGATGCTGCTTGCGTGCTTATGGGAAACCTCTATGGACGTGCTGGGCTCTGGGAGAGGCGTGCTCAATTACTCGAGTGCAATGCTAAGAGAAAGAACTGAAGTTTATACTTTTAAGGTACGTGTTCTTGCAATTTCCAACTTTGCTTGTGATTTACAGCTCCGAGTGGTCAGCTCGTCGGCATCATCATCGTCGTCCTGGTAAACCTTGCTGATGATCGGATTGCAAACGTCTTCTAGCTCTTTGAGTTGCTCCTCAAAAGCTTCCTTGTCCGCCGTTTCGTTGTTGTCATCCAGCCACTCGTGAGCCTCCTTGATTGCCGACTCAATCTTCTCCTTGTCCTGGTCGCTTCATGTTGTACAGATATGCCTCCATGGCATCGATTTTCTCCCTCAGCTCTTGGTCCTCTCTCGCGTTCTCTTCCGCTTCCTCTATCATCCTCTTGATCTCCGCCTCGGTCAGCCGGTTCTTATCGTTCGTGATGGTAATCTTTTCCTCCTTACCTCTTCCTATAGAGCCGTAGCGTCCACGACCAAAACGTCTGAATGAACAAAGAGCGGTAAGCTATAGCCATAAGAAAGCTTTGATTTAACCTTGTGTCGTGGCCTCGTTGAACATACCAGTTTGGACAGCCGCACCGTAAGCCACAGCCTCGTCCGGATTCACTCCCTTGCTGGGCTCCTTACCATCGAAAAAGTCCTTGAGCATCTGCTGGATCTTGGGAATTCGAGTGCTCCCTCCGACCAGAACGATCTCGTCAATGTCACTCTTCTTGAGCTTGGCATCCTCGAGAGCCTTCTTCACGGGTGCCATCGTCTTCTTGAAGAGGTCCGCGTTGAGCTCCTCGAACCTGGCCCGGGTGAGCGTCTCGGTGAGGTCGATGCCATCGATAAGCGACTCGATCTCCACTCGGACTTGGTGCTGGCTGCTCAGTGCCCGCTTGCTCCTCTCCACCTCACGGCGGAGCTTTGCCAGAGCTCGCGGCTCCTGGCTTATATCCCTTTGATACTTCTTCTTGACGAGCTTGACAAAGTAGTCTATCAGCCTCTGATCGAAGTCCTCGCCTATTAACAGTGGAGTTCAGTTCAGTCGCTTGATATATATCGATCGAAAAGAAGTTTACCTCCAAGGTGAGTATCTCCATTCGTGGTGAGCACCTCAAAAACTCCAGCGTCCACCGCCAAGATGCTCACGTCAAACGTACCACCTCCAAGATCAAACACCAGGATCTTCTCGCCGATCCTTTTGTTGTCCAGGCCATAAGCTAGCACCGCCGCGGTTGGCTCGTTGATGAGACGCATAACATTAAGTCCAGCGATCCTCCCAGCGTCACTGGTTGCTCTTCTTTGAGCATCATTGAAGTATGCTGGAAGTTTGTATACAGTGAGAACCTTAAAAGAAAGATTTTGCGCATACCTGGTACTGCGATCACTGCGTCCGTGACCTTCTCGCCCAGGTAAGCCTCGGCTGTTTCCTTCATCTTGGTGAGAACCATGGCGCTGATCTCCTCCGGGCTGTAGATCTTCGTCTTGCCGCTCACCTCGACTTCGATGTAAGGTTTTCCATCCTTGTTCACGATCTTAAAGCCCAGATGTTTCATGTCCCTTTGAACTTCCTTGTCATCGTACCTGGATTCACGACGTTCCAATATGAAACTTTGAATCTCGAGAAGAAAAGGAAGAGAAGGATCAAGGAGAGCTTACTTCATTCCAATGAGACGCTTCACGTCGTGTATTGTCCGGGTTGGATTGGAGGTGGCTTGGTTCTTGGCCGCCTCTCCGATCAGTCGCTCATTCTCCGTGAAGGCTACCCAGGATGGAGTGTGTTCGTTGGCGATGATCTCGACCTTGCCGTTTTTGTACACGCCGACGCACGAGTACGTCGTGCCCAGATCGATCCCGATGCTTGTTGCGTTGATGGTGATCAAGAACAGCCCTGCAGTTGGATATCAAAGTTTGCGAGAAGAAAGAATTGAATGAGAAAGGTTGCATACATGCTGTGATGAAGAGACAAGGTAGGACTTTCTTGATTGCGCCCATCCTCAAAGTTGACGAAACCTTAGGGCCGGTTGAGTTAATATAACGCGGGCAAATACCCTTATTTCTCTAATATGCCTACATCCAATGTCTCAGATTAATCTTGAGGAAGTATCAAATATTGCCACGTGGCATATTTTGATTTCCTAAAGGCAAATATGGGCAATATTTTATATAACTAAAGTTACTTTCTATATTTGACAAGAGTTAGGGTTTTATGGCATCTAGGATTTGCAGGCAAACGGATCCAATGAAATCGGTCCAGACAAAAAACGGTCCAGACACGGAACATTATTGCCAAGATAGAAAGCTGCAGCATAAGAAAGGATTTTAGGTAAAGTCTGGTATGAAACTTGATATGGATACTGACCGTATCTTCAAGCATGCCTGCATGGCCATCATGGCTGCTGTTGGCCAACGTCGGTGTAAAATATAGAAGCGTGAAAAACCAGTGCAAAGGATACAAGGCAAGTACCATGGATTTGAGAAGCAACGCTTTCTCAGGTCGAGATGAAGCAAAATGCGCCAAACACGTACCAGTGACAAAAGTATATCGATGGATCTTAGAGCATTGAGAGTGCATAAATCCATCCCACCAGAGATTCAAAAACCAGTGATACGAGGTATCCCGGAAACAAAAACTCGTCATACAAACTCGGAAGGAGCGAGAGAGAGTGACGAACTTACAATCCTGGCAGCGTTGTGATAATAGGATGCCAAGTATAAAATCTCTTTTTGCAGTAGCACTGAGCTTGCGGGACGTGGAAAATCTCGTCCTGGAGCAAGGTAGAAAATTCTCAGTAGCTCATATCAAGAAATAGTTTATGTAAGGATCCGGAACGATGCCATTGACGAGATACACCACTGCTAGCGTGATGTCGCGATGGGCGACTTAGCTCGCGCTAAATTCCAGGCATTCTAGCCTCCTAAAAATGCCAATCTGGGTTTTACCCTCTTCGTTACCAAATGGCAGAAAAAAGAGCTAAGTGAGCGAGCACTCGCAAGTAAATCCCTTACCTTCTTGGTGTATTCCACGACAGTTCCCTCTGGACTCCCTATGTCCATGAACAGCGGCCATTCAACAGAATGCTTGAGGTATTTGAGCTTGCCCATAAAGGGTGAGCACCATTGTTATCAAATCTTCGGAGAGAACATCAACATCACCGCTGGGAGTTGCTCAGAATCTTTGCGAAGTCGCATTTGCCCAGACCAAGAGCAAGCCCTAAAATTGGAATATATCATTCTTATAGGTTAACTTGCATGCTAAAATAATTTTCCATTGTTCTTCGCTTTCTTCGTTTTCTTCTCTTTCTCCTTGGCTATCTGCAAATGTTCGACCTGATCACACCCTTGCTACTTGGGAATGACGATGCATCTGAAATTCCGTAGTCCACCATCCGCAAAAATCAGTGTTCTTCCTCGACCCTTGTTCTCCTTTCTCTTCTGCTTTTCAGCAGCAAGCTTCATCCTCAAGTTTCCCAGCTTTGCGAATAGCACATGCTCCTCGTTCGTCAACTGTAAGCACTTGTCCAATGGACACTCGTCTGTTTCATAGGCAATGTGTGCATCCTCTTCCTCGCAGATTTTCTTTCCACGGCTAGCCTCCTCCGTCTTGGATTGTTCAGTTCTTGGACGTTTAGAAACACTACCTGCAGTCCACCATGAAATAAACCGAGATAAAATCTTGATACCTTCATAAACGTGCGGCGTGGATCTTGTAGATGTAAAAAAGCTTAAACGGGTCATTGCTTGAATTCTTGCGGCCGAACGAACTTGTATTCTGCCCTTCGGTGAGCCTCGGGTTTTAAACACACTTGTAAGAACCAGAAATGAAGCGTCCCCTTCGAATCCTTCCAGACCAGAGCACCATCAACATACGTCAAGTTGATTGAGATCAACTAGAACACTTTCTCGTCCTTTCTTAAATCGTTGGGGTTGATTAGCTTCGGTTTTCCATCAAGGATTTCTAGTCGATCTGCCTGGTACTTAGTACCCTGAAAGGTGAAGCCCCCATCCCGTATCGTCTCTGCTACAATCCCCTCGCATATGTTGCCAACTTGGGGCCACGTTGTGTTCTCCTCGTCAAGCAGCTGCCTCACGTACAGTTGAATATGATGACTTCTATACGCACGAGTTTGCTTCTGACGTAGACGCGTCTGGAGAGACAAGCTGTGGAGAAACGAACTGCAAGGACCACCAGGAAGAATAAATCCTTCGATCAGGTCTGGCTTCTTTCGTGTGAACAGAGCCGCAACTTTTATCCCAGGCCTCCGCATCATCAAGGTACGAATGGAGAGGAACTTCTGGTCGAGAGCTAGGTACCTGCGGCCAAGAAATAAGCGGACCCGTACTATTTAACAGTTGGACACATACCGGACGGGACAATATCCTTCTGAGGTCCTCAGGCGTATCTAACCGAGTATCAGTCGTCTCCACGTACTTGTGGCAGTATCTCTCCAGCAGGCATAACGACATGGGATGCCTCTCAGCCAGGTAATTCACAATTTTCCTTCGAAGGGGACGCTTGTCGAGCATAGGTCCCAATATTGAACAAGACTTTAGATATGTAGCGCATTCCTCCTGCAATGCACGACAGACATAAAACGAAATTATGCAAAGGAAATTAAATGCGGTGTAGAGGCACTCCTCTGCTCCAGGCCAGTACGGGAGTATGCATCTAAAAGTAGCATTATCCTGAAACACATCCAACCATGTTTTGATTGCGAGTATTTGCCTGCCATCGTCCTGTGTTCTTGGCGAACCATCTTTATGTGCAAAATCGTAGTGCTCCCCTCCATCCAGAAACAAAAGTATCCTTTCCTCCCTTGACTTGAGAAACTTATCCAAATCTGCAGGCGAGTCAATACGCCCAATCTGCTCAAGAGCGTCGCTGAAGGAGAACTCGAGTGCAGCCCTGACCTGTGGAACGCGAGGAGATTCGGCATTGCAGATGCATATGATCCTCAAGCCAGGAACGTTGACAGCAACAAATACCGCTGCCAAAGCCCATAGGAAACAGGATTTACCTACGCCTTTTGTTCCTCGCAAAGTCCAGGAGAGGTACGTTTTCTCAAGTGCTCCACCATCTTCTCCTCGAAGCTGGGTCTACAAATGTAGTCGAACACTCTGGGAGGGCGCGTCCCTACTTGGGCAGGCGCTAACCCGGGAATTGGCAGAG